GGCGATCACATACAACATAGCATATATATATATATATATATATATATATATATATACATACGTATGTATGCGTACATTGGACGTATCTGCATAATGAGAAACGTCGTTCGTTGTGGCTTATCAAACTATCTTTCTCTCTCTTTACATAATAATACGATCATCAGCCTTTTGTTGTTATTGTTGTCGCTGTTGTTCTCTCTCACTTGTGTTCATTCATTTCGTTTTCTATCGCTCGTTCCTCGCCCCACGGCTCGATGGCTTTTGTGAAAAATTTTGTGAACTTTTTTATTTAAATTTTCATCAAAACGTAAAACGTGAGCATTCATAATTGTAATGCACCCAATTGTTCGGAAAGATTTCGAAAATGCAAGTTCACGCCTTTTTTCATTCTCAAGATAGAAACAGATTTGTCAATTTCTTTACTTAACTATCTCAATTTTTAATTTACTTCTTTTTTGTAATTAATGATAATGTAATTACAGTATAATATAATCGTTAATCTGACTATTATGTTTTCGCTAACTAAAGCATTATTTAATATTTGTTAAATTGCAATGAACCGATCATTATTAAACATCAATCGCGTGGAAATTGGCTAATCGTTAATCGTTAATGTTTGTATATCGCTTTTGAATCTAAATTCGTTGCATATTTCCAGCAATTTTGGCAGCCAGGCCTGCAACCAGGAACGTCCCAGGATGTCAAACCCTTTCCTCAGCCTGCTTACACCGGGAAACCGGCGACAGCGGTCTCGAGCGGTGACTTGGTCCAGGCGCAGCCTGCACCACCATGGGAAGGACGCGCCATCGCGACTCACAAGCTCAGGCTTGTCGAGTTTTCAGCCTACATGGAACAGCAAAGAGACCAGGACATTGTGAGTAATATTTGTTAATTGGGAAGATATTTAGAGGTCTGACGAGACCTACTTTAAATACCACAACGGAATCACATATTCTTAACAAATTATTTTTTCCAAAGATAAAACGTAGCATGTGTATTTTATTGGCGTCCAATGAAAAATGTTTTAGGAAATCATGAAAATTTAATGAATATGATTAAATTTATTTCAAATACGGCTTAGAAAAATATTTGAAGAGGATTAATATGGATAAATATATGGTTATAAATATTTTTGTCATAGGTATAGTACATCGCAGTTTCTTTAAAGAGAAATGCTTTGTCTTTTGTAATAAAAATTTTGTAATAAAAAATTGTATTAAGAATTATTACATTGATGCGATAGGATTTGTTAATTATTATCTAATAATAGCTTGAATATTCATATGAAACACATTAAATTGGCAAAAATAATTTTATGAATAACTAGCTGCGAATGATTACTTTACTAGATAGCAGATGAGAGAGTGAAAAAGTCAATAGGATATTAATCACAGATTCAATCCTCGGATAATCAACGAGACAGTCAAACCATGATTTATGATTGTCTTCGATCATATGAATTTCTTCTTTTTTTCAGTATCACAAACACCTGTTCGTCCACATAGGAGGTTCCGCGACCTACGCCGATCCGTTATTAGAAGCGGTCGATGTTAAGCAGATATACGACAAATTCCCGGAAAAGAAGGGCGGTCTCAAAGAACTTTATGATAAAGGACCGCAAGCGGCTTTCTTCCTCGTTAAATTTGGGCTGATCTCAATAGCAACATCCAAGATGAAGCTGGAGCATTCTATGGCGTCACGAGCCAGTAAGTAATGTTTATTACCCACGCATGTAATTACTCAATTAGTCTAACATAATATTTACGTTGTATTTTATATCGTAATAGGTATGAGAGCAACGAGAACATGACGATAACGTGTTCGACGAAAGTATGCTCCTTTGGAAAGCAGGTAGTAGAGAAGGTGGAGACGGAATACGCAAGGTTTGAGAATGGCAGGTTCGTTTATCGCATTAGCCGTTCACCTATGTGCGAGTATATGATTAATTTCATCCACAAATTGAAGCACCTGCCAGAGAAGTACATGATGAATAGCGTTCTTGAAAATTTCACCATCCTCCAGGTGCGTTGAAAATATAATATAATGATAAATAATTCTTATATCTTTCATATGTAAAATCTGTCGTGATAATTCTTGAACAGAAAACATTTGAAATGCATGTATAGATAAAATAAAGTATTTTATAGAAAATCAATTATATTGATAATTAAATCCGTATTATAAAGTAGTAGTGGTAAAATAGAAAAATTTATATTTTTCTGCCATTTCTGCCTTTTCGTTTTCCAGGTTGTTACGAACAGGGATACGCAGGAAACATTATTGTGTACAGCATATGTTTTTGAAGTGTCAACTTCTGAACACGGTGCTCAGCATCACATATACAGATTGGTCCAAGACTAGCCTGCTTGAACCTGCTCGCCATGCAGCCATCCACCCCCATCAGTGCCTACCATCATATAAAGATCATCCATACACGTATATACATTACACTGTGAAAATACAATATATACATACAGCCGAGTTCCTCTATTCTAAAATTATTGGGGTCAAGCATTTCCTCTAATCTTTTGTTTATTCTCTTTTTTACGATAAATAAATTATTCATTAGAAAGATTAAATTATTAAATGCTTTGTTTTTTCTTTCTTGCTCTATTATCATGTAAAGTATTATGTTATATGAATTCCATAATATGGATAATAGAAAAACAACAAACAATAGCGTAAAAAAGTTAGTTTAGAAAAAATTTTAGTTTAGAGGAAATCAGCTGATTTAGAATAGAAGAAAAATTAGAATAGAGGAATTTGATTTTACGCGATATGTTGCGTGAATATATGAGTGTAAACATGCTTACACTTATACAGAAATATTTTCTCGTCCATAGGTGAGTTTCGATGGAAAATATTCGATCGACGATATTATAAAAATTGTTCTATAAACAGATGTAAATAATGAATAAATAATAGACATTATAAGAACATTCTCTATATACATACAAATTCGGATGATTTAAAAGATTATATTTTTTTTTCTATGTATGTACAATTTTTTTGTATATAAGACAACAAATGTTCTTAACATTTCATAAATTTAAATTTTATCCCAATAAATTGATAATATAAAAATATCAAAAAATAAAAGAAACAAATCATGATATTTCAACTGATTATGAATCGGCTGTGCATGCTGAGGGATTAAATTAAAGATGAGAAATTCTAATTATTGTATAATAAATATTATAAATACTTCACAAAAAGTCTAATTTTTATCCTTGAACTCGAGTGTTTCTGTAATTTTGTAAAATAAAACAAAGAAACATACTGCGAACGTTTTCCGTGAAACTCCTTAAGAAGGACTCTACAGACATATGTACACATATAATAGAGTACTGGCCAGCCCGAGCTTGAGTTTGATTCAAAGTTTATACTTTTAGTAATTCATTGGGTTAATATGAAAAGAAATTCTTGTGTATGTGCTGGATAATGTCTTACGATATCACACAGTTATAAATTTTATAGTAAAATAGAGATTTAAAAAATTTCTCATATATATTTTATGATCATTGCATTTAATCGACGATCGCGTTTGTCGATTAATTTTAATAAAAAGAATCGAACTTGATCAAGAGGATATATGTAATAAATTAAGTTAAAATTGACAATAAATTTTGGTATAAAACTGCATAAAGAGATATAAGTATGCGACAAAAACAAAAAAAAAGAAAAGAAAACAAAGAAACAGACTCTGATCTCGGAAAGGCATGGTACCGCAACATTTGATTTAGTATTATAGTTTTATTATTAAAATAGATGCGATATATATTATAGAAACGCGAGACAAGACATCCACACACAGATATACATATATGTAAGAATATATATGTTAAATATTAATGCAATGATTACAATTTACATTGTTATAAATGATCGTGTATAAAGTTATCTAAGTGATTTCTAAGTTTTAAAAGAAATGGAAGTTTGATCGAGAGATATGCCATTATGATTTTTTTACGTATTGTGAAATATATATATATTGTTTTTAATTATCAGAATTAAGTCTCTTAAAAAAGAAAAACGAAATGTCATAGATTAACATATGTTTCTTTAAGTTTTGTCACAGAATAGTTTTTTGCATCAAAAGTTCTTATCATTGTAAGAGTCTACGCTACGGAGAGCGATCATTAATTTTCAATGATCGGTAAAAAGATGATTATTTTTATATTTTGATTGAAAATTCGACCTTTTAAAACGCACTTGCTAATGTGCAGATCCACCCACTCTGATTAGGCAGCGACACTTTAGGTTAGAGGGATGTGTTTGTATTTCTTATAATCGTCTTACTTTGTATATTTTAAGATCATATTTTCTATAGTTCTTACTGATGAATGATTTTTCTTACTTAGCGTATTTTGTTTGTTTTTATCTTTCTATTACACTTACAAAACGATAAACAGATCGATATACATCGATTATACAGATGGAAGGCCACCATCATAAGTTATAGCTATGTGATAGGGACTTCGATTAGAGTCTAAAACTCGATCTTGGCATTTTTTATCAAGAGTGTATTGAAATCTATCTCGAAAAATGTAGTAAGACATATGGCAGTGACATTGAACGTCGATATTTAATTTACGATACATCGATCGTCTGATTTCAATATCACTCTGTAAATCTCTGTAAGTTAAAAGTATTTTTCAAAGCACTGATACAAGAGGATACTATCCCATTGCAAAAAACATGTCGTACTTAATAATATAATTTACGCGTTATTCATACATGGACCATGAAGAATTTACACATACAGAGATTTTTCATGAACTTAATGGCAATTGTTTAAACAAGTAGAGGACCATATCCTACAGTTGACTTTATTTAATCGCATCTCTCATATATATTATTATGTATAATTGCACAGAAAGTTTTTACTTATTTTTTAATTCGATCTGTTGTGTGTTCCCAAAACAGAACTTGCCTATCAAGCAGTAAATATTAACATAAGCAAGAAAAGGTCGTGTATATTTTATTAAGATAATATTATTTACTATATTCTTACTTTAATTAACTTTTAACGGAACAAGTGGCAATGTATTTTGATCTCTTTTAGTCAGAAATATGTCGCTTTTTATTTTGGGGTGAGAAATGAATTTACTATATGGGTTGACTGGAATAGAAAGAAATTTATGTTTAAATCGATATGTGAATGCGTTTTTTAACTGGCAGCTTTTATATGTTTTATTCATTGTTACCGTTTTTTTTTTCTTCATATAAGCTCAGTATCCGTTTGAAAGCAACTCTCGGAAGTAAAAGAAAAAATATAAAAGTAAATACGCAAAAGAATAATTTTTTGTAGTATTTTTCAGTAGTATGTCCATTTGTATATATGACTTTCGAAAGTAATTCTCAACAGTATTTCTTTCAAACAGGTACTAGCCAGTAATAATTCATTATATCGTTTTTTTTTATAACTTAGCTTTTCCGTCAATATAAATATTGTGATTTAGTAAAATCGTTTGCACATTAAACTGGAGTTGTAACCACGGCCATGTTACGGATAAGTTTTTCGCAATACTTTGCTTATTAATATCTATTGAAAACAAAGTTTTCAAGTTTTGCATTTCGCAGTAATTTCAAATAAATATAACATGTAATGTTCTCATCATATCTATATAATTATAATTACACATTACGATAAACAAGACAACGTCTCGTGGTTACATATCGAATAGCTTAATAATGCATTATTTCGTTTCGAAAATTGCGCAATATCTTTTAACGATGATACTCACAAGAATTCAATTCGATCATGTAAATTTTTGTTTTTATGGATATTTGGAAAAGATGGAACGAGTATGAAATTGAGAAAAAGGAGCACCGACACTAATATTATTGACATTTACGCGTAATGATTTTAAAGTAAGCGAATTACATTTATAAGAAAAGATTATAAAAATATATATTTATCTATGTCTTCTGTGAAGATAGAAAATAGTACTCTCTCACTCTATATTGATGATATCGAAAATCGAGGTCCGATAAAAAGATACAAAATGCAGAAGTAGACTAAGGAACAGAAAGAAAAAAAAGAGAGACTTGCACTGTACACAATAACATGCGATTGATCGATTGACTCAGATTTGTTAAATATCTTTGTATATATTTACAAGAAGACCATGAGAAATTGTTCAAGTTCCAGCAGCTACGTTTTTGTAATAAGTACTCCCAAGTACTCCTAGAAGAGAGAAACTGTTTTGCTTGCAGCTCGTTACAAATCCAGTTCCACGTTTCTAAATTAAAATATGTAAAAAATTTTAATATTTTCATAGAGACCTATTAGTTTCTTATAGATACAATACTTTGATACAAGAATAGATGTCTATAATCTTTATTAACTTTACTCCATTTTCATTTACCTAAGTTAGTAATTATATTGCTAAATATAGCTATATATGTTTATAAACTACACATACTGACAAAATTGGGGGATATAAAACAATTACTCATGAATTGTTTAATATATTTTAGTTCAATATATCCTTTATATGTAATGTTTTAAAATATATATTTATCTCCAATCCAATCAAATCTTATCTCTATGAAAGTATTGACTGTATGCGCGCAATCAGCCTGCTAATTCGGCAAACGCTCGGAAATTTACATCCCTTTGAAATTCTATTTATTCATATCCTGGAACTGCCATATCAAAGAATTGAGCTTGACTGTAAAAAGGACTAAAAAATATTGATCGGAGAAAAAAGAAAACAAAAGGATCTACCTGTATATTACTATCATAAATGAAACGAAATGAGGATCAAAGTAGTTGTTTTAACGAGTAAATGAAAATAAATGATATATCATTAAATTAGAGGTTTAAAAATATAATAGAACTCAGTATATGTACAGTATTTGAAAAACATGTTTATAATTTGTATGGAGAAAATAAATGATTGATATAAAAAAATAGCTGTTTTTTTTTATTCCTTCATTATTATTTACTATCCGTTTAAATAAACATATCTATAACATAACGTATGCTGCAGTATCCAAGCAATGTTTTTCTATTAATTCTCTTTTACTGAAAAAAGATGTAAAAAGATTGTACTTAAAGTATAATTTATGAAATATTTGGTTATATATTTTCACCTTATTTAAATTTATCCTATTCTATTAATAATTTATAATATATTTTTATTTACTCTATAAATTTAATTTATTCATCATAAAAATTACGTAGTAAGTACAGTATTAAATAAATGATTTGCAATATAATTTTATATCTAAACTATTAAGCCAGCATATTCTAACATAAAATATAATATATTTCGTGAGTTAAAAATATCTCTTATTTGTTTTTTGACAATATATATATATATAATAGCTTAATATTTTTATGCACAAAATGAAACAAATCGATAAGATATAGAGCAAGCATATAGGTTTTTCTTAAAAAAGTATTTACTGCTAATTACATATTTTGAAATCAATTCCATGAGTATCTTTTTTAATGAAATATATAGCAGGATTTGCTCGAATTTAATTTACACTAGTAAAAATAAATATTAGGATGACAACACGGAGAAAACTACGAAAGGAAATAGGATTCGCTCGATGTCTTACATGATAATGAATGAATTTGAAACTGCCGGGAGATTTCATAAATCACGCGGTAAAAAGACCGCCGCCAGGTCGCCATATCGATATTGCACCTGTTATTTCCCAGCACTTTTCGTTCTTTGAACAACAAGTACGTTCATGGTTTTTGAGGACTTTTTCTATTATAGCTCTATTTGATCATATTTGACGCTGCACAGCTGTCAAATTATTAAGATGAATGAAATGAATATACAATTCAACTTAGATATAAATATAAAATTAAATAACAATTAAATAAATTAAATAATAATTAAATAACAAATATAGAAATAATAAATATAAAATTAAATTTAGAAATGAACTTTGCGTGAATATTGAAATATTCGAAGAATAGTATCATCATCGCTTTGTCACAAGGCAGAGTTCTAAAATTTTTCAATGAAATTTTAAATTGTAACCGCACTGAAGAGATACATGATTTAAAAAATACGAATATTTTTTTTACTTTAATGTTAATTAATGTTAATATAAATTCAATGATCGCATGATTTTTTACGTTGCTTGGTATATATGGCATAATTATACTTAGATTTCGTCAGATTTCGTCACGAGCCGAAACTTTTACTTTTTACCTCGTCGGTATTGAGAAGTGCCTCTTTCAAACCAACCACGTGGTCGTTGAGTCGTCTCTCGAAAAGTGAGAAAACCGGGCGATGTCGATGATGGATATAAAAATGTTTCACGAGCGAGCGGCCGCTGCGGTAAACTTGTCCAGCGATTAATTTCTAACTTCCATTGTTATATATTAAAAATTTATGATAATTTAATAATTCCAATTTCACAGTTGTAAGGTTATGCGAGTCATATACTTTCCATTGTTGCAGGAAAGAGAGATACTCAATTTAAAGCAGCAGATCGAATCGCTACAACGAAACATTATGTCTGACGCTCCGAATAATGTAACTAAAGAGGAATTTGAAAAGTTGCAACAAGAAAATACGAAGTTGACGCATAGGATAGCAATTCTTAGAAGGGTACACAGCGATAAAATTTCTATTTAAATATCCATTTTTATACAATACAGTTTAATTTTAATTAGTTGATTTAATTTATTTTTCATCTTTTCATCTTTTCTAGTTGTGAAAATTAAAAAAAGATAAGTAAGATTAAAATTAATCTGTATTGGTAAAAGCAGATATCAAATTATCTCTAACATATGTTTATCTCTTATGATTATATGTTTCATAGACTGTGGAAGAACAAAAAAACAGATTGGCTTCGAAATTATTTGGATCTCCAGATGTAATCAGCATAAACGATACTCTTTCTGAACTTTTTCGGAAGGCTATCAACACTGCTTATCCTAATATAACAGATCCACCAGTGGTAGTGACTGTAAGCAGTAATCCCAAATTTGGAGATTATCAATGCAATAGTGCTATGCCCCTAGCCCATCAACTGAGTAACTCTGGTAAAACTTGCGTGTTGTCTTATTTTAATATTTTGTATATCAGAATTTGATATATCTCTATTGAACATTATTCTATTATAATTTATTGTTGCAGGTACCAAAGTAATTCCACGTAATGTTGCTAATGAAATTATGTCCAAACTGGAGACATCCCCTCTTGTAGATAAATATGAAATAGCTGGTGCAGGATACATAAACATATATTTAAAACGCGATTTTGGACAATTTGTTTTAAGCAATTGGTTGATGGCTGGTGACGTTCCTCCCCCATATGTCAAGAAGAAAAGAGTAATCGTGGATTTTTCTAGTCCTAACATTGCCAAGGAAATGCACGTGGGACATTTAAGGTCAACAATTATTGGAGACAGTATTTCAAGACTGTTAGAATATTTAGGACACAATGTACTAAGACTCAATCATATAGGTGACTGGGGTACACAATTTGGTATGTTGATAGCACATCTTCAAGACAAATTTCCCGATTATTTAACCAATGTTCCTCCAATCCAGGATCTTCAGGTAATTATACCTTTATGTCATAAATGAGATATTTCATAACAGGTATTATAATAATTATAACAATTATTTATACATTCATATACATATAGACCTTCTATAAAGAATCTAAGACTAGATTTGATGAGGATGAAGAATTTAAAAAACGTGCGTATGAGTGCGTCATTAAATTGCAAGCCTTCGAGCCTGATATAACAAAAGCATGGAAAATGATATGTGATATATCTAGAAAAGGTAAATATAGTAATCAAATATATTAATTATTTACTCTGAAAGAAAACAAGTATTTTAGTAATTATTTTTACATTTGATGCAGAATTTGAGAAAGTGTATACTCGACTGGATATCAAAGTGACAGAAAGAGGTGAATCATTTTATCAGAAATACATGGAGGCAATAGTTAAAGAATTAGAATCAAGGAATTTATTGGAAGAAGATAATGGGCGAAAAATAATGTGGGGAGAACAACACGGTAGCGGGGTACCTTTAACTATAGTAAAATCTGATGGCGGTTTTACATATGATACGTCAGACATGGCTTGTATTAAGCACCGTATCGAAATAGAACGGGCGGATTGGGTAAGTATTATACAATACTTAACATACTATAAATAATAATAAATAATAAATACATAACATATTATAAATATCATATTTCTATTCATATAAATTGCAATGTAATAAAATCTTTATAATTTTACAGTTGATATATGTGACAGATGCGGGTCAGTCTTTGCATTTTCAAATGTTAGAAAGCTGTGCTAAAAGAGCAGGTATCTTGAAGAGCTTTCACAGAGTGGATCATGTTGGCTTTGGTGTTGTCTTAGGTGAAGACAAGAAGAAATTTAAAACAAGGTCTGGCGATACTGTAAAACTCAGCGAGTTACTAGATGAAGGTAATGGGGGATGAGGGAATTTAATGATAAATTTGATCTTTTATTTCTTAAAATCTAATTACTATGCATTTCTACTGTCCAGGTTTGAAAAGAGCACTACAAAAACTGAAGGAAAAAGAACGCGACAAAGTATTATCTGAAGAAGAGCTAAAAATGGCTCAAGAATCCGTTGCATACGGCTGTATAAAATATGCCGATTTAGTACACAACAGAAATCACGAATATGTGTTCTCATTTGATAAGATGCTGGATGATAGAGGCAACACAGCCGTTTACTTATTGTATGCTCTAACTCGAATTCGTTCTATCGCCAGAACGGCGAATATCACGAAGAACGAGTTGCGGCAGCATGTACACAATACTCCAATCTCATTGGAACACGAAAAAGAATGGAAATTGGCAAAAACATTGTTAAAATTTCCCGATGTAATTCTTGGCGTCAGTGAAGATTTATGCTTGCATACATTGTGCGATTTTTGTTACGAAATTGCATGTACGTTTACGGAATTTTACGATAAGTGCTATTGCATAGAAAAGAACCAAGCTGGTGAGATTGTAAAAATAAATATGGGACGTCTTTTACTCACGGAAGTTACAGCAATTGTTTTGGAAAAATGCTTTTCTCTATTAGGCTTAAAACCTGTTAAACAAATGTAAAAAGAATACATACTATAAGATACTATATATGTATTTTTCATTGTGAAGTATAAAACATACAAAAAAATGAAGGAAATTAATTTATAATTTTTGTTATGTTCGGAGAGCGCGCTATTTATATTATTGCGTCACTCGCGTTATTGGTACTACTGCTGATAACACGCTTCCCGAGTGCAAAAATTAGTCATATTAAAGCCGAATGATTTAATAAAAGTGAAATTAATATATATGAATTTTTTCTTTTAAACAATATTTCTATATTTTATTTATTTTGCAAATGTACTTCATAAAATTTGATGAATTAATTTTCACACTATTATATACTTTATATGATATTAATTTGAAATATGTAAATAAAATGCTTGCAAATCAAGCAATAAACCATTTTACTTCAATGAAAGTTGTATAATTTATTGTTCACAGTCAAATGTTTACTAATAACAAACTGTATACATATATGTATATCTCTCATCATCGTGCATACATTTTGTGTCATGTATGAATGCAGATAGCGATATTCACATTCAAAATAAATAAAGTGTCGTTTAGATCTCTAAAAAATCTTACCTTAAAATGTCTTGCAATATCTAATTTCAGTCATGTAACATTATTCATTGTCAGTTACTAGTTAGATGGATAGCGGAAACATTAGCTACGCTCGGAGGGCAATAATTATAGGATCGTTGAGTGAACATTTATTCATTTAAATAGATTTAAGTTGACTATTTGAATCAACACATTTGCTATTATTAATATATTCTAAATTTAATTTGAAATTAGAAATCCATTTCAATCACAAGCAATGATTATTAAATACTCATTCAATTGTATTCTCTGAATTGTGTATTGTTCATCATTTTTTTATGTTTTGATGATTTATGTAATCTAAAATTCATTTATTCATTAATGTTTTAAATTAATGCTGTTTATATAACATATTTCTTTGTTTTTTGGCAAACAAATATTAATTGTTATTAAAATTCAGTAATGACTTAAAAAGTTCCCTAAAAAGATCGAACCAATCAAATTAAATTAATCAAAAGCCTATATAAAAAAAATTATATTCGGAAATTTTTATATTACGAAAAAATGTAATTTCACATAGGGAAATCACAATTTATAAAACATTTTTCACTTCCCACAAATCTTGTTTTCTTTATTCACACATCATCTACTTATATTTAACGCAGGTTCAATACTATAATTTATTTATGAATACTTTTGGATTATATGTTACATTTCCGCACATAGAATTATATTTTCTGCTATTACTACAATCTTGAAGAAATTACAATAAGTTCGTTATGGAGATGATAGCTTACCTTAATTCGATTTGTAAAAAATCAAAAAATCATTGAAATTCTAGTATATATAAATATACCATGATATTTTTTGATATTGATAAATATATATTTTATCATATATAATGTTCTTTCATCATTGATAAAATGAATATATTATATCAAAGATGCATTGTATAATAATTAAGATCATTTTCACGTAGCAATTATCTATATATATAGAATATTCATTATAATATTACCATGATTCTAGATTCTTCTGAGATTGACATAATAGAAACATTGTCACAAAGAAATAATTAAATTTTACGACTGTAAAAAATCAAAAGTCAAGTCATATAACAAGAAAAAGATAGAACTACTCTATTTAGTAAATTAAATTGCTTGTAATGAAATCTATCAATAGTAAGATTAATTGCTCATAATAATATAAGACAGTAATCTTTGAATTTATTTTAGAATCATATATCAATAAAGATGTATGATTCTAAAATTCTGTAAACACCCATACGAAATAAAAAAAATAATTTTATAAAATTATAATTTTTTCAAAGAGTGACTGAACTTTTAATAAAAAAGAATGATTTAAATATTTTTGTGAATTATCAAATTCAAATATTATTGATAGACTGAAAATGAAATTTGTTTATCTTTTTGTAATCTTTTTTTATTAGAGGGATACCCTATATACTACTATAATAATTTTGTAACCACACAGTTGATTTTTATGAAAAAAACTTTATGACACTAATGTGTGTATAGTTTTAAAAATTAAAATATTGATTGATAATATCAATGCTATAAATCATTGACCGATTAATAATAATTAAATAACATCTCCAATATGTCTATAATTCCTTATGTCACAAAATATTTGCTATTATATGATGCTATTTCAACAAATCGTAATTTCCTTATGTACTGCATATACCTATAAATCATTTACAGAAATTTAACATAAAATTATTATTACGGCCAGGCAAATAATAATATACCCAACTGTCTATATTATCCCCAATAGTAATATAAAGAACACGAAACGCAAAAGAAAATTCAGTGATCATATTCATCATATCAATCATATCAAATATAATATTCAATTTTCATTGTAAATTCCACTGTAAAATAATGACAAAACAAAACAATTTGTCTTGCTTATCATGGAATAAATCTTAATGCTAATCTTTTTTCTGTACAATATGCTATAGTTCACTATTTGCAAATTTATTCGAAATTATAACATATTATGTCTGTTATTAAGATAGAAATCTTTGATATATAAGATATAAACTACTTAAGATTAAATACCGATTTATGATAATATTTATCATTCAATATTTATCGATAAGTTCATCAATTATAAAAATTAACACATTAAAAAGTTTACAATACAATACAGCAGTATTTCATTGCATAAACAAGATACACACAATTCTTGGTTGTACTTTTATAATTTGTTTGCTACAATCAGGGTATCAAGATATTATTATAATCAATTTCAGTTAAATACCTAACATTACGTCATATTCCGGCTTTCAAGAGGCATCACTATACTTTGAATTTATCATATACTTTTATCACTATACTTTTTAATTATCGTCGGCATCATCATCATCATCAGATATATATTTTTTAGTAACTCTCTTCCTACGACCGCCTCTTCCCTCCCCCTTTCTTCCTTTCAATTTAATTTTCATTCTTACGCTAGAATCTGCATCTGATCCATCTTCGCCATCTGTATAATATAAAAAATGGAATCGTTGAGAAAAAAATTATCTTATCTAAATTTTACGTTTGAACTAAATAAATTACACAATATGATTAAAAATTTACCTTTATCATCTCCATCAGAATTATTACCTTCCTCTTCAAGACGCTGACGCGCATTCGTAAAAACGGATTGTAACACTATCGAGTCTTCATGAATAAGGGATGCTTCTTCATTATAAATTTGAGCATTCTTACAAAGTTGCATAAAATCTTTTTCAAGTTCGTCTAAATCAGCGTACTGGAAAAAATAACATTATTTGATCATAAGTATATCCAATAAATGCAAGAAAGAATATAATAAATAAATACTTACTTTGCCTTCTTCGATTTTTTGTAATAATTTATTAATAGTCAATGGTTTCTTAATGATCTCATAATAATCTGGTAATTCTCTTCGTGAAGGTAATTTCATAAATGGCTCACTCAATAATCGGCCATCACTACTATCAGTATAATTAACAACTAACGTTATTAGTTTCTTCATAGCCCGTTTCATTTTAGGATCAACTAAAGATCCGGCGCCTCTTCGTTTCTTCGGCATAGGCTCGTCGTCCTCTTCGCCTTTCTTCTTTCGTTTCCGTGTCTTTTTCTTCTTCTTATCATCTTCTTCTTCCTCTTCATACTCTGCGCCGTCATCGTCAATCGCCTTTAACCACTCCTTTTCAGTTAAACTATCTGTATAATCAACTTCTTTACGTTGTCTTGAACCTCTTCCAAGGAATCTATCTTCATCTTCTTCGTAGGTCCATCTTTCTACTTCATCATCATCTTTTACTAACCAGTCAGGCAATTCAGCTTCTTCTAATAGACGCGATTTACGATTTGGACCCAATTTGGCTTCCTCACGTCGTCGCTCTAAATCTAATTTCTGGAATATTTCAAATTCACCTTCTGTTCTAGCAATCATTTGATTTACAGTCTCATCATCGGGCACTTCATTCTCTTCTTCATCTTCGGCATCATCCTGATGCAAGATACTCTGAAGAAATTGTTGTCTCTCAGAACCAGTGGACTTCTGATCAAACATACCAGCTTGAATAACTTTTTCGTCCATATTTAACTTATATCTAGCTGCTGCTAATATTCGCTCTTCAACGGAATTCACAGTCATTAATCGGAGTACTCGTACTTCGTTTTTCTGTCCGATTCTGTGTGCCCTGTCTTGAGCTTGCAAATCCTACAAATATGCATATATTCATTATTAAGCAAATATGCATTATCAAGTTTAATATCATGTTAATATTAAATATTAATTGATTATTACATGTTAATAGCATGTACCTGATGAGGATTCCAATCAGAGTCAAAGATAATAACTGTATCAGCAGCTTGAAGATTTAAACCAAGACCACCTGCACGTGTGGATAGCAAAAAGAGGAAATATTCCGAGCCAGGATCATTAAATTTCTTTAACAGGTCTCCTCTGTCTTCTGCTTTTGTTGTACCATCCAATCTTAGATACATGAATCCACGCCAACTTAAATAATCTTCCATAATTGTCATTAATTGAGTCATTTGACAAAATAATAATACTCTGTGATTTGTAGCCTTCAATTTGGGAAGAATACGATCGAGAAGTTCGAATTTTCCAGATGCACGATATAAATCGGGGCTAACAGTAAATAAAAATCAAATAAATATCTACATAAACATTACTCTATATAGATTTTGCTCGAGCATTGTCATCAAGATACATACCCAGTAATAACACCGGAACCTTGTGTGCCTACATGTTCACAGTATTTCTCTTCTATAGCTTGAAACATAAATGGATGATTACATAGTTTTCTCAGCTGTACAATTGTATTCATAAGAGCTTTGGCACCGCCTTTCCCTTGTTTTCCTTTTTCTGATCCATCGGTTAGTAATACACCTTTGCTTTGCATATGCCTAGCAAAACATTTTTGTTTGTCAGCTTGGAATTAGATGCCTATTTTGTAAAAAAAAATTGAAAATAGAGAATACAATTACATACTTATAAAGAACTTTTTGTAGGCCAGACATATCACATTTAATGATATATTCCACTTTATCAGGTAATTGTGATTCTACTTCTTTTTTCAAGCGTCTCAATAAGAAAGGCCGCAAAACTTTGTGCAAACGACGAATAATCAAAATAGTTTCTTCTTCATTTAGCTCCACCTATGCAAATTCATAGTAATATTAGTAATAAAGATGTTTTACAAATTTAAATAAAATTTTGCTTTATGCAAAGTACTTGCCTTCTCGCCAGTAGTGGCGAAAGGAGCATTAAACCACTGTTCAAATGTACTGCAGGATTTAAAGATTGAAGGCAACAAGAAATTCAGAAGAGCCCACAGTTCTGGCAATTTATTTTGCAACGGCGTACCAGTTAACAATAACCGATGAGGAGCCAAATAATGTGTATTAAGCACTTGGGTAAGTTTGCAATGATGATTTTTCATTCTGTGTCCTTCGTCAATAATCATATATTTCCACTGCAATTTGGCTAATACACCTTTGTCTTTAATGACATATTCGTAAGTTGTTAAAAGAACATTGAACTTTGTAGCTCGCATCTGAGATTGTATCGCTCTTCTGCCAGCTGGAGAACCTTTGTATGATACCACAACAACACTCGGTGCCCATTTTTCAAATTCAAGAACCCAATTAGATAACGTCCTAGAAGCATATATATTAAAATTATTATATGAAAAAAATCATTTATCTATATGTCGCATTTTTAGAAAAAGGAAATAAACATACGATAATGGAACGATAATAAGAAAAGGACCATTGACTTTCTTCTTTTCCATTAAATATGTTACCAGAGCAATGGTCTGAATTGTTTTACCGAGACCCATTTCATCTGCCAAAATACCGTTCAGGTTGTTGTTAAACAAAGACACTAACCATTCTAAACCCTAAAATCATTAATAAATTGATATCTTTCACATTCTTAATAAAAATATTATATTATCATTTAAGTATTATAATTTAAAATACATAATGAATTTAAAAATATATTAAAATAACTACCTTAATTTGATATTCTTTTAGCTTTCCATTCACCATGATACTTGCTTGTTCAGTAACCACTTCATGAACAGTATGAGCAATGCTGTAGTATGTCTGTTCTTCAGTTTTATATTCATCATCTTCCACTTTTGCTTTATGTATAGTTTTCTTGACTTTCTCTTCTTCAGAATCGCCCATTACTTTATCTTTGCCTGATTAATATTTCATTAATTAAATTTGAACAAAAAAATCTGTACACAAATCCAAAAATAAAATACTTACTATCAGATTTATCTTCACTTTCTCCATTTTCTTCTTCATCATCCTCTTCATCTTCTTCGCTATCTGACTCAATTGGCTCCCACCCGGGATGAGCTTCTAAAAATGCTGACAACTGACTCATCAATGGTGCTTCATCACCGGTTAATGTGCGACCAGTGGCAGTTTCTATTACACCAATACGAGTATCGTCACTGACTGCACCATCTTCACCAGCATTTTCACCATCTTGCAATTTCTTCTTTTTCTATATGATTACGAAACTCCATTAATATTATAAATAATTCACTATGAAAGAATAATTAATTTTATAATAAAGTACAGTACATACCTTCTTACGCTTTTGTTCTTCTACTTGCTTTCTCTTTTGCTCTATCTTATGTTGCTTAACCATTTCCGTGAGATTGCTTATATATTCATCAGTTTGGGATAACAAGAATGCTAAACGCTTATCTTTCTTTTGATCGATTAGTTTTCTATATCCTTCTTCATCTTCCGCCATAAGACGACGCATACGTTCTTTCTCAATACGCTCTTGTTCTTTCTTCTGCTCCCGTTCAGCGTTTGCATGATAGTTAAGCACCGCTTTATTAAGTCTAGCTAATTTAGCAACATTGTTACGATGAAATTCTTTGAAATCTTTGCCATGTTGTAATACAGAACTAAGAAATTCCTAAAAACATAAACATCATACTTGTATTCATTTATTCGCAGCAACAATCTTATTAACATCATATATTTATAAACAAATTTTATCATTAAATAAACGCGCAATTGGATAAACTTACTTGATGTTTCTGTCTTCGTTTACGTTCTGCTTCTAATTTCTGTTGCTTTTCTAATTTTTCAGTAGCTCTAGCTTCACGTAATCCTTGTCGTTTCGTACGTTTATAAGCTTTCACATTCACAGCAGTTTCTAAAGTAGTATCCTTCCGGGTACATGCTATAATCTGTTGAAAATTAGAAGAGTTAAAAGTAGAGATAAAAGTTCCTTAGATTTACATATATAAAATAAAAAAATCTATATAAATTTAATACCTCGGATCTTAATTGTCTCTGGAAGTTTAATACTCTCAGCATACGCAATTCGATCTGAGCTTGTATACGAAGATCTTCTGGCATATTTGTCGGTAAATTACTAAGTTGTTCCATTCTAAGCGATATACGAGCTGCAACTCTGTTATTAAGTATTAAAATTTTTGTTTTACTAATAAATATACTATTATACTCGATACATTTTTTTGAAAGATATGTCTCTACCTATTTTCTCGCTCCTGCAATATTAATAATGGATCTAATCCAACGGGTTTCGCTACACTTGTTACTCTATTAGCTTTAGCACCAGACTGAGGTTGTTGCTGTTGTTGTTGCGGTGTCTGACAGCCTGGTCTAGGAGCACCTGCGGGACCAATAACATTCGGACCTGGTATTTGTGACCCAGCTGTGGTAGCAGGGCCTTGAGACGGATCTATGGGTCGTTGACCCATCCCTGGAGGAGGAGGCGTGCCACCTATTCAAATCCGTCTTAAATCAGGATCATTCTACCCTACTTTTGCAAACTTTTATAAATACCACATTTATTCATCTGGTTTCATTCATTACATTCTAATAAATATCATAATCTATCAATAAGCATAATCTCTGTAATTGCACAATCTAATATGAAAAAAATATCGAGCAAAAATTAAAGTTATTACAGCATGTATTTAATATAATGCATATTTAAAAAAATAAAAGCATTTAAAATAATATATTATATAAAAGCATCGTATACAAACTTTTACTATATTATTAGATGAATACAATGCGTAGAGAAGAAATAAATAACATTTATATATACTTATATTATTAAAGCAATAAAAATAGAAGCAAGTAAATATAAAATAGAAAAATTTGTAAACTAAAAAAGCTCTACTTAAAATAAGCAAAATAAATCATGTGGCAAAAAGCGATACAAAAGACAGAGTAGTCACCCAGAGCATATAAATTTACAGAAATATAAAAACTTACCCTGTGCAGCTAATGCCACTTGTTGAGGTACTGGCTGATTTCTTGCTAGTAATCTGTATGCCATTATCTGAGCTCTGTGAAAATGCAAGAATTAAAAATTTTTAAAAAGTTGAAAGAAAAATGTAAAAAAGATATTTATATTTTTTTTTCAAATCAAAAACATGTATCAAACTTTCACGCCATCAATGGACCAAATGTAGCATCGTGTAGTACATGATTCGATTATTATTGTGCAAATGTATCAAAAAATATATAATTGTATGTATATATGTGTGTGTATATGTAGAAAGGAATAATTTTGTGTGTGTGTATGTGTGTGTGTAAAATTATTCCTTTCTTATAATTTTTGTAGACAATGATTTAACATAAAATATAATCATTAATTTAAGTACCGTAATTGCTGCAACTGTTGTGTATTGAAAGCTTGCTTATCGCCCATGCCACTACCTTGACGAGCTCTCAAAGCTAACAATTGTGAGTATCGTGGATCTTCTTGCAATCCTTTCTCTTCCATAGAATCTATCGCTTTTTGAAGCGCATTTAAATTCTCTTGTCCCGATCCGGGTGGTCCTGTAGGTCCGGTAGGTCCAATTTGTCCACTTCCAGTTTGACTCATTTGATTTACTGGAGTACCTGATCCTATTGGTGCTGTGCTACCAGAAACTTGACCTTGATTTTGACTACCAGGCCCTATTTGAGTAGTAGGAGGCTGAATATTAGGTCCATTAGAACCCATTTGTCCAGTCGCGTTTGTATGGCTAATTTGATTATTGGGAGCACATGACCCCATTTGACTATTCGGACCACCAGGTCCCATTTGATTGCTCGGAGCGTTCGGGCCCATTTGAGAACCCGGGCCTCCTTGCATCATTTGTCCTGGACCAGAGGGAATTTGTCCTCCTGGTCCCATTTGACTACTTCCCGGTCCTATTTGTCCACCAGGTCCGCCTCCTGGTCCCATTTGGCCACCAGGTCCACTACCACTATGTCCCATTTGTCCACTACCTGGTCCCATACCTGGTCCACCAGGCATGCCTCCTGATACCATTTGACCACCAGGTCCACTACCGGCATTCATTTGCACCCCAGGACCGTTTCCCGGGCCCATTTGACCACCAGAACTGCTTCCAGGACCCGCTGCACCCATCTGTCCTCCTGGACCGCTGCTAGAGGTCATTTGTCCACCAAGTCCACTAACTATACCTATTCCAGTTGGTCCATTAGGCCCTATAGAAACAACAGGTGCACTACTTGTTGTCATTGGTACATTTCCTGGAGCACTTCCAGGACCCATTTGACCAAGACTATTCGGACCTAATTGTCCTACGGGACCGCTACCTGGGCCCATTTGTCCACCTGGACCAGAAGGTCCCATTTGGTTGCCTGGTGCGCCTGGTCCCATTTGATTACCTGCCCCTGCAGGTCCCATTTGATTACCCGGCCCACCAGGACCCATTTGTCCGCCTGGTGCATTCATATTCATTTGTCCGGGTGGACCACCCATACTCATCTGTGACGGCCCATTATGACCCATTTGCCCAGGTCCATTTGGTCCAATCTGCCCTGTTGGTCCAACAGGACCCATTGGGCCACTAGGTCCCATCTGCGTTTGACTATTCGTCATCATTTGATTCGGACCACCTGGACCCATTTGATTTGGACCACCAGGACCCATATTGTGACCTGCAGGACCACTTGCAGACATTTGACCAGGTGCACCAGGACCCATATGACTTCCCGGACCACTAGCATTCATATGTGAAGATACTGGCGGACCACTTGCGTTCATATGTGTTGGAATTGGAGGCCCGCTGTTCATATGACCACCTGATCCAGGCGGCCCACTAGCGTTCATGTGAGCTGATCCAGGAGGACCGCTTGCGTTTATATGTCCTGATGTTCCGCTAGCGCCTATGTGTCCTGATACTGGAGGTCCTGCATTACCCATATGTCCTGGTCCGGGAGGACCACCGGGAGTTATGTGACCTGGTCCTGGTGGGCCACTTGCATTCATATGACTTGGAGGTCCGCCCATGTGCCCCGGGCCGGGTCCTCCAGAAATCATTTGCGAATTTTGAGAATTTCCAGTACCCATCTGAGGTCCTGATACAGGTCCGCTACCTGGTCCCATTTGACCAGGCCCATTTGGACCTACATGAGATCCACCAGGAGGACCTCCTTGTACCATATGAGACGGCGCCATTTGTCCGGGACCGATCTGTCCTGGACCTCCTGGTCCCATCTGTCCAGGTCCGCCAGGACCCATTTGGCCAGGACCACCAGGTCCCATTTGGCCAGGTGCATTAGATCCCATCTGATTGGGCCCACTTTGCATCATATGAGAACCACTTTGTGGTCCATTCGGACCCATTTGTCCAGGTATCATTGGTCCTCCAGGACCTTGCTGAGAAGTAGGTACCTGCCCAACTGGACCGCCTGGACCTTGATTCTGAAAGAAAAACAAGAAATCAAATAAGTCAACAACATTTAAAAATAAAAATATATTCGAATGCTAATCCTAAATATTAGATAAATGATTTTTACAACCTTTTTTATTTAATAGATTGAAATATACATCTTCAAATTACATAATACTGCAAAAGGCATAAACAACATAAATAAAGGGCAAAATATTTCTAATAAAAGGAAATAAAAAATTTAAATAAAATTGCAGGAAACACACTTGCAATAAGGTACGTAGATATAAACAAATAAAAATCTGCAAAAGTGATAAATCAACATTTCATTGGTCATCGTTATATGCTGTGATGATTAACATACATCATAATATGATCAACATAATTTTAGCAGTAGCACATGTGTAATTAGAAGCTTGGATTTTATGTTTAATATCTAAGACAAATAAATAGAAATGGAGATTTATTTTATTTAAATTTTCTGTACGCATTCATGTAATGCTAGTGGCACTAAGTGAATTTTGTGCAATCTATTATTATATTCTATTTATTTTATATTAGCACATTACATGATAAATCAGAACAAATAGCATTTCGTCTAGGATTCTTTCGGGATTTTTATAGAAAGGCGAAAATTAGAATGTATCGAAAAATTTGAGACAACTGATCATTCTAGTGATCATTTAAGATCCGATAAATTCGCATACACCGCACATAAATAAAGATCTGTGTATAGTCAAATTTTTTTATATTCATGTGAAGAAGTAGGTTTCCACGTTTTGTTCACGCTGTCGACTAAGCGATATCACGTTCGGGAAACATGTTATCAAGATGACTATCGAGAGAAAACAATGATTGATGAACAAAATAATACATCTACTTTATCTGTTGCAGTTTGTGCAACATGCTTGCAATAATATAACAATGTTTCGATAAAAAAATAAAGATCTTTTATAAGCTTCTAACTTTCTTTTCATAAAACACATTTTTATTATTATCATGACAAAAAAAAGTTAAAAAAGTTCATTCAGAGATCATAATAAATTAAAAAACGAGATAAGGCTCTTTTCAAATAAAAAATAATGATAATAAAAATGTATTAAGTTTTAATCATTTAAAATGTAATACTACTGTGTTTACATCGTTCAATACATTTTCAATACAAATTTTGTTGTAATCATAAAATTTTCAACATATAAAACATATGATGACATATTTCTTCTAAATATGACAATAATTAATCTTTTCACTTTTTTTTTCAATAATTAATCTTTTCACTTTATTCTGCAAACTTTCTAATTATATAAAACTCGTTTCATCTTCGACAATTTTTAAATTATCGCCAACGCTGCAAAATTTAATCAATTCGTTTAAATGTTATTATACGTTTAAATGTTGTTATTCGTTTAAATGCACAACTAGATTGACCTTCTTCTGCATAATGTAGTAAAAAATATTATCTATCTATTCAAACAATATCTCCGACATGGTGAATTAACACTCGAATGCAATGTAGCATGAATTTAAAAAAAATATTGACACGTGCAACAAACGATTTTGAAATGTTATACAACATCGCTTTTTTAAAATTGTGAATAGAAAGAAAATCATCGTAAAAAAATTACTGGATTGCATTACATTCTGTTTAAGCATAAGTTAACGTCATAATGTCATCAGGATCAACTTTCCTGTGCTATTATTATACATACAGCAATGGAGATTTTAATTCCTTCAACAATGCTATATCGCAAAAGGAACAGAACACGAGATGATTAAATATTTATCTATTAAGTGAATGCAAGCTCATAGTGGGGATGACAATCATATCATAAGAACAACGCTTCTGCGATTATCTAGACAGTATTTTAACTGGAGCACACTGTAACAATGTCATTTGCAAACTAAGAGAAGTGAAATATTTCAAGCTCGGGTTTCACGAAAATCGTGAAAATGTCTACCCAAGAGGAGCTCAATTATTGCTACAACTTTGTCGTGAACCTTACTGTAGAGTCTGGAAAGGTAAATATAGCAGTATTATATACATTGCTCTATGATTTAATAATTGCATTGTCCTTAATAGTCGAACCGAATCTATTGTCGACGATTATTCCAATATTACATGGAAATTTGGAGTCGTTTAAAAGTAAAACAAAGTTATTAATTTAAGTTATTAAAAGTAAAACAATGTTATTAATTACGTCAGTATTAAGTGTGATTTATATGAATTTCAAGAAAACTAGAAATCATCTTATTGTATATTCAAGTTAATTGTATGTCACACTTAAACTCCCCCCCTCCACACACACACACACACACACACACACACACACACACACACACACACACACACACATATAC